GTACAGTAGTCTCCCTCTTCCTGAGGTTTTGCTTTCCATGGTTTCAGTTGCCCATGGTCAACAGCAGTCCAAAAATATTAAATGGAAAATTTCAGAAATAAACAATTCATAAGTTTTAAATTATGCTAGTGTGATGAAATCTCGCACCATTCGGCTGGATCATCCCTTTGTCCAGCAGATCCACGCTGTACACACTCCCCACCCACTGGTCACTTAGTGGCCATCCTGATCATCAGACCAACTGTTGCAGTACGGCAGTGCTTGAGTTCAAGTAACCCTTATTTTATCTAATAATGGCCCCCAAGCCAAGAGGAGTGATGCTAGCAATTCAGACATGCCAAAAAGAACCCGAAAAGTGCTTCTCTTAAGTAAAAAAATGAAAGTTCCCAACTTAAGAAGGAAAGAAAAAAAATCGTATGCTGAGGTTGCTAAGATCTGTGGTAACTTTTATTACAGCATATTGTTATAATTGTCTTATTTCATTATTAATTACTGTTGTTACTATCCTATTTATCTAATTTATAAGATAAACTTTATCATAGGTATGTATGCAAAGGAAAAAACATAGTATACGTAGGGTTCAGTACTACCGTGGCTTGAGACACCAACTGGGGGTCTTGGAGTTTATCCCCCACAGATAAGGGGGACTACTGTACATATAAAGTTCAAGAACAGGCAAAACTAATCTATGGTGTTAGAAATCAGAAAGTGATTGCTTCTGGAGTGTGCCAGGGGAAACTGAAAAAGGAACACAAGAGAATTTCCTGGGTGTTGAAAATGTTCTATATCTTGCCTTGGGCTGTGGTGACAAGGGTGTACACAAGTGTGAAAACTCATGAACTAAGACCTTTACATTTTATTGTATGCATATTATACCTCAATTTAAAAGCCTATGTGAATATATACTTTGTAGGAAAAAATCAATCAAATTGCTAAATGCCAGCTTTAAACAAGTAGAAAAGAAAACCTAAAAAATGATACCTTTTATAGTGCATTCAATAACTCAAACATCTAGGAAAAAATATGCAAAAGATGTGCAACACCTCAACACAGAGAACTAGAAATATTTTAAAAATTGAGAGAAATTAAAGAAGACCCAAATTATGGAAGGATAAAGACAATCTTGAACAAGATCAAAGCTGGAGGACTCACATTCCCAGACACTAAGACTCATTTTAAAACTGCAGCAATTGTGACATTGAGGTATTAGTGTCAAGAGAGACAAATTAACAAAGAGAATGGAATATGGAGTCCAGAAACAAACCCACACATGTACAAGCACTTGGTTTATAATAAAAGTGACACTTTAGAACAATGGGAAAAGGGTGATCTTTCCAATAAATTCTGCTGGGTCAGATAGACATCCATATGGGAGGGAGAGAGAACCTTGGCTCCTAACTCACAGCATATTTTTTTAAAAAGCAATTCTTGATGAATTGTCAATCTAAATACAATGGGAAAATCAATAGAGCTTCTGGAAGATAACACAAAAGAATATATTCATACGTTGGGGTTGACAAAGATGTCTTAAATAGAATACAAAAAGCATTCCTATAAAGGAAAAGATTAATAAAACCAGACTGCACCGAAATTAAGAAATTCAGTTCTTCAAAAAGCACTACTGCGAGAATGAAACAGCAAATCTCAAGACTAGGAGACTATATCTGCATTACATGGAATGGATACTGTGCTTGTATCCAGAATATTCGACTCCTACAAATCAACAAGAAAAAGACAAACAGTCTGACAGAAAGATGGGTAAGGGACATGAAAAGATATTTCATAAAACAGAACATACAAATGGCCAATAAATATATGAAAAGATATTCAACCTCACTAGTCATAAGGGAAAAAAGCAAATTAAAACTACCAAACAAATTACTACTACAAACAAACAAAACATAATGGCTTGAATTTAAAAGACTGACAATACCAAGCATGAGCAAGTACGTGAAGACTGGAACTCGCACACACTGCTGATGGGAGTGTAAATCCACACACCTACTTTGGAAAACTCTTTAGCAAAATCCGCTATGGCTGAATGTTCCACTTATAGGTATACATCCAACAGATAGGTGTTGGATTTCATTTTTTATATCATTTCCAAATAATAGAAAATAGCCAAAAACCGGAAACCACCTAAACATCCATCAACAGAAGAGCTTATATGTCACATATTTGAACAACGGAATTTTATCCAGCAATGAGAATGAACACAGTATTACTACACATAACAATAAAGACAACGCTGAGTGAAAGAAGCCAAACAAACATACTGTCTGGTTCCATTTATATGAGGTTCCAAATCAGGCAAACTTCATCGATGGTGTTAGAAGTAAGAATGATGGATGCTTGGGCAGAAGAACTGGGTAGTGAATGGAAGGAGCACAAACGGGGCTGCCGGATACTGGCAAATGTTCTCTTTCCTGATCCAGAGGGAGGTCACATGGGTACGTCCACTTTGTGAATATTTACTGAGCCTAGCTCTCAACCACCCACCAGCTCATTATACTCCATCCACACTAGCCTCTTTCTGGGCTTCAAAAGCGGGAAGTTTGCCCCCATCTGAGGACCTTTGTGTGCCTGCTGCCCAGGACGCGACTCAGACTGTGACAGCACTGGCTTCTTCTCACCCTCAAGGGTCACCCTCAAGAAGTCTTCCTTGCCCACTCAACCCAAAGGGCTCCCCCGCCCCCATCAATCATCCCCCGCCACTGCGTTAGTCTCTATCGTCATGTCACCATCAGAAATCACCTGGCACATAAACTCACACACTCATTTATTGTGTGCTCCTTCCACTAGCAATACTGGCAACCTGGGATTAAAAGACCTTGTCGGTCATGTTCACTGCTGCATCCCCAGGACCAGGAGCACCATCTGACAGAGTGTGCACCTAATGAACATCTGGTGAATGAATGAACGTCACCAATGCAAGTAGGTCTTCTACCAAGGAGTAAGTCAAGACACAGGCTTAGAAAGGAAAAAAGTGAGAAAAGGAGAGAACAAAAGAAATGTACACAGTCAAGGAAGGCAAAATACTACCTCTGGTGCCACTGAGAGGCATAAAGCAGATTAGGCCATAGACCGCCACCCGGAAGGAGGCCGTCTAAACGAAGCCTGGGGAAGCCCGTGAATAATGCAGACATTTTTCCACATTGGTGCTGTAAGAAATACCGCAAAATAGAGAAGGCACAGTGCCTCAGACAAAGAACCTACCTTCAGGAAGCTTCCAAGCTAGGAATTAGCAATGAATGATTTTCATACTTCAGCTATACAAGGAAGTCATTTCTGCACCTCAGTTTTTATAGAAAAATATCTGGAAAACTCTAATATGGACACACCTAAGGAAATATCTTAAGTTTTATAGTTTACGTATCTATAAATGAAAAAAAAAAACTTTCTTCAGCCTAGTGTGCCCCTGCCTCATAAGCCTCATTTCTTCTGTTATTCTAAGATGAGGCAGAGAGAAGAGGCAGAGTAGGGAGGGAGGAAGGAGGAGCGTGCAGGCAGGAAGTGGTTCGCACGCCCTGAGAAAACTAAGTGAACTTGACCGTGGTCTCCCCATCTTGTGAGCTGCACCTAACAGAGCGCCAAGTGCAAGGTGAGGATTCAGTAGGCACCTAATGAATGGACATTCTTCCAAACAATGACATTAAAAGGCTGATTAAGCGGTTTAAGAACCAGGATTAGGAATGTTTTGGTTTTGGTTTTCTAATTCTAAAGATATTTATTCAGCATTTATTCAAACAATTAGTACAACAAGCACCCGCAGGGGACACAGCTCAAAGCTCCCGCTGCAGGCGCACAATGCAAAACAGAGGGTGGCGGAGGATCTTATAAAGCACACAGCTCTCGAATCACAGAATTATTTTATTTGTATCTCATAGGCAAAAACCTAGGAACTTCTGTCTTCTTAATGATCCTGTGCTTAGGTATTTTTTCTTCTGTATTCATCTGACTTCTGCCTCATTCTTTGAAGCTAAAGTTTAACTGCCCACTTTCAGCACTTATTTTCTTATCTGTTATTCCCTCTGGGATTGGCAACTAAAGTAATTCCTCAGCAGGCTCAAAGCCTTTTATCATTTCAGAGACTTACATGGCTTACATATGGCATCCTTCTGTGAAATTCTTGAGCATTTGTTTCTCACCAACATAAGATGATTTAAAGGGGAAAGGAATTAATTATACGGAAAAGAATGCAATTCAAAGTAGAGTCATCCCAGCATAAAAAGAAAAACAATGAAATTTCAATGTAAGATATCAGTAACTGATAACATTTCAGAGCTGGACCTAAACGAGCTAGTGCTAATTTCACCTCCTCATTTTATTAATGGGTAAATTGATGGAGATTTCTAGCATTTTTAAGGGGAAACTAGAAAGGGTTGTGCCCTTACAAGTTAAAGCACTCCCCCTTGTAGGCTGAGGTTTGACAAATTGTGAATGAATGACTGATGGAATTAACTAATTAATTTATAAGTATCCTTCTAAGAAACGGTCACAAAGCTAGTGGCAGGGCCAGGACTAAAACCCAGTTACTTTTTTCTTTCCTTGGTAACTCGTAAGTTGCAGCTCCATTAGCAGTTTAGTTAGTTCTCAGGAGAGCAGCAATGTCACGGAAATCACTCACTGACCTTAGTTGTGGGGTTTTTTTTCATTCCGCTTTTAGACACGCAAACAAAAGAAAAGAATGAAAAGCGCCAAGTGGGATGACACAAGAAAATTGCACCGTAGCCAGATCACACATAGAAAATGACAGAAAAAAGGTAGGCAGAGATGGCTCTGTGATTTTCCTCTCTCTCTCACCTGATCTAAAAGATACAAAAGTTCGAAGTTAAAATGCATTAGCTGTCAAATCAACAATATTCCATTAGAAGCACAGACTCCTCGAACAATGCAGCCATTTTATAACCACACGCTTGACACAGGCCACAACCGGAGGAAAAGAGGTGGCCCTGATCGGGAGCAAGGACGGAATGTGATGATGAAGACAATATACTTACTCTTCCAGGAAGTGCTGCTGGGGTCCTATAATGGAGCCTGGCCGGCAGATTCTGATCCAAGCAATTATTTCAGCGTGTGTAAACCTGTAGTGTTTCATGACATAACAGGCTATCATCGTCCCTGTTCTTCCAAGACCAGCTGTAAGAGAGGGAGACAGAACAAGAAATACAAAATACAACAGATGCACCCACAAAAACACTGAAATCAAACACTGTCCGGCAACTGCAGTGGTTTCAAGCAGAATGGAACCCAGACAATAACGTAATGCTTTTTACACGATGTTAAAAAGGTTAAAAGATAATTCTACCTTAAGAAATCTTTAACAGATAGATCCCATGATTAAAATAAACATATATAAGAAAATATAAAAATCAGAGCAAGGGTCTTGAAAATCCATGGAGTTCAACCCCTGAGGGGCTTTGGGAATGACTGTCATTGTGAGTATTGTTAAGACAAGGCTGGTTCCATGACAAGCCCTTATAAAGGTCCCCTGTCCATTGTCTCCATGATCCTCATCCTTGGCCCCAGCCCAGGCTGTAGATGAACCTACGGTTAACAGCCTGTGTGTGTGACCCCTGAGTCAGTAGTATAACTGATTATATTATCATGGCCATGGTTTTTAACCTATTTAAATGGTTAGTTTTTTTAACTTATTTTCCAATAAAGGATCATAGAATCAAAGTTAGAAGACACCACAGACATCATCAAGCCCCATCAATTACCTCACCCACGATGGTTTCAATACTATCTCTATCAGGCGGCAAATCTAACCTCTATTGAAGTCAATCAGAGACCAGGATTTCATTATTTCCTCCATCAACAGGTATTGATGGAGCACCTACCACCTGCCAGGTACTGTGCCAGGAGCTGGGGATTCAGGGCCAAACAGAACAGCCATGGTCCCTGCCCTTGTGGAAGCACACAGCCCACTGAGAAAGAACGAAGCAAACAGAAGTGCTCCAGTTTCACTTCCTGAAGCTCCTGCATTTTTAAGTAACTTTTGTGTCAGTGTATTTTCTTTATGTTGAACCCAATTTCTGTTACGTAGGATAAAGTAATGCAATTAGAAATGATTTTCAAAGAAGTTTTGGTTACTAACATGAACTCTGATTTCTTCAAAGTGTTTTTACAAATTGTTATATTTTTTTCCTGTCTCCAGAGAAATAAAAGCGATAGAACTTTACATTTTAGCCAATCTTTAAAAAAAAAAAATACACACACACACACACACACACACACACACACTAGTGACCTCCTTTCCCAAAAATACTCAAAAACTTGATCAAACTGTAGGTTTTCAAATATAGTGATTCTTGTCCATATACCAGAACAGCTGATGCCCAAAGATACTAACCCATTGACTCATATTAGTATAACAAGTGAATGTGGAATTCAGGACATAGATCCCCCAAGTGTCCTGTTTCTCATCCCAGATTCTTTCCACTCTTGGCTCATCCGTTCACTTACTCATTCTACAAACATTCCACAAGTATTGACTAGGACCAACTGTGTGTGAAGCACCATGAGAGATGCTGGGGATAGAAATATGAAGACAAGCAGATGCCTGCCCTCGTGAGGTTTATAGTGCTGAGCCAATAATGCTTATTTACAGGCATTTTCTAAATCTTTCCATATCTGGATTCTTGAAAGTAAATTCAGTACTATAAACTTTTAAGTACCACCCATGAGCAAGGCACTGTGCTGAGTTATTTTTCTACTACTTAAAATCTGTTCCCATCGTATACACTTTTCTTATAGAAAGACAAAGAGGCTCTGTCTTTTTTTTTTTGTAGGGAAAGATTTGCTCTGAGCTAACATCTGTTGCCATCTTCCTCTTTTTTCTTCTTCTTTTTTCCTCCCAAAGCCCCAGTGCATGGTTGTATATCATAGTTGTAAGTCCTTCTAGTTCTCATATGTGAGCCGCCCCCACAGCACGGCTTCTGAGATGGATGGTGTGGTTCCACAACCGGGAACCGAACCTGGGCTGCCAGAGGGGTGAGAATGCCAAACTTTAACCATTAGGCCATCAGGGCTGTCTCTAGTGTTAAACACTAGATTTAGCTAGTCAAATGTTTATTCATTGCCTACAAGATATGCAAGACAGGGCTCCGCTCACAAGATAAAGATATAAGCAAGGATATGTTTGACCACAATGAGTTATCACAGTGGTTGTAGACACAAGAATATTAACCAAGAAACAATAAGCAAAGAAATTTAAACTGAAACTGGGCTCCCAGAGAAAGGAGGAGGGACTCTGTGAGCTGCTGGTGTCTTCCAAGAATGTGTCATGGATGACAAGGACTTCGTAGCAGACTAAAGAATAGGAAAGTCACAAAACATTTTGGGCAAAGGGTCTAATGAGTGAAAGCCTGGCTGGTCTGGGGAATGCGTCAGTGTGTGTCGAGTGGAAAATAAGGAAAATAAGGGTGGGGAGGGGCCAGATTAAAGAGCGCCTCTGAGTCAAGTGGAGGAGCCTGTACTTAGGAGAAGCAGGTTACCAATCGTGGGCCAAAGACAATGAGGATTGCTAACGCATTATCGGGAGTCCCCAGTTCCAGACGCACGGTGCTCTGAGCGCTGACTAAGTCACAGCGCCTGCATATATGTGTTATAACTCCTCAAATGTATGTAGATGATGCTTCGAGCAACAAAATTCAACTCATTTAAAAAGTATTACAGAATTCATGATATTATCAACAGCTAATAAACATACAACTGCTATCATATAAAATCTGTTATTTTCCCTTTAACCAATGGAAAGGGCAAAAAAAAAGCACGATATATTTGGGGGGCAAGAAAGCGAGATGATAAAAGCAGATGGATCTGGGAGCAGCATACCTCTGGATTGGAAAAGGCCGAGCCAGGAGCCAGAGAGAGGAGCTGGAAGGCTGGGCAGGAGAGGAGGGGTGGACAGCGGTAATAAAAAGGGAGAGCTGAATTAGAAAGACGCTTTGATTGGGTCACAGGGAAAGTTAAGATGACTGATAGTTTTGGCCTGGAAAACTAGTACAATGTCAATTTCATCTGGGAAAACATTTAGGTAGAAAAAAATAGGGGAAAGTTGATGGTTTTATTTTTCATATGTTTAAGAATCTTCCCCGCAAAGGAGGGGTCCTTCTGTCAGCTTTCCTTAGTGAAATGATACAGAGAATCATCTCTAACCTGCTCGGTGCTTTGAAACACACAGTACGTCAGCAAATCTAAGACGGCATCAAGTCGTCTAATGGTGTCATACACCAATAAGTTTCACTAAGGAAGAAAAAATTAAACCATGACAAGCTATCAATTTTAAGGTCCATCCTAGTTTCATGAACATGAAAATGTGAAAGAGCTGTCTCTAAATCAGTGTTTCTCAACCTTTTTTTCATTACCGCCTCCTCCAAGAGCCTCTTTAGACTTTTTTTCCCTTAATCATCCCCCATGAGATCTTACTGCCACAGATATACTGTATATCTGTTTATGTACTGTATGTAAATCTGTGCTTTACACCAAAAAACAATGTTTTTTACCCCCAAAAAGCAGTTTTTTCACCTTGTGGGCAATATCACCTGGGATTGAGGAATACCTTTGAAAAATGCAAATGAAATTACAATCAAGCACCTGTTTATAGATGCCAGGCATTCCCTTCCCATTCACCCTCCCTTTTTAAAAATTCTATTTACACTGTTTTATTAGACAAGGTCTGTGTTGGGGGGAGGGGCTGTTTTCGTCTCAAGTCCCTTTTGCCCCAGATCAAGCATCAGCATTCTTTAGAAAAGAGGGAAGTTTAATTATGCTCTCAGTGGGGTTTTTTCTTTAACATAAGAGTTAAAAGTGATTTGCTTTTCTGTTTCCGTCCGGGGCGAATACTTTCTGTTTCTGCAAAGTTGTTACCTCCCCAGACCTCTGACGAGACCACAGGTGATCACATTGATAAAACACAGCTGGACAGCCTGCAGCAGGAGCCAGGGCCCAGCTGGTTTCCAGGGTCCCTCCCTCGAGTCACCAACTTGGGTCTCTGTCTGGAGAGAAGACGGGCTCTGTGGAGACAACACTACCGCTCTCTCTCTGCTCCCCTCTCTGTTCCAGGGGCTGTCTGGGTCCCTCAGTTAAGCTCCTGGTCACACACACTCACGATCAAAAAAAGGTGGTGCAGAAAATTTTCAAATTTCTCTGAAACTAAAGTTGCTTCTCCCTTTTAAAAAGAGTCTATAATTTAGATCTATAAAAAGAACCTACTTAGCACTCAATAGTTAGGAGCTCTTACCACAATTCAACAGAATAGGAACATTTCACTAAGTTTCTATAAAAACTTTAACAAATTTTTTAAAGCATTCATAATTAAAGGGCTCCCTGGTACAGCAAGAGAAGACGTTGAAAAGTATTCTATTTATACTAAGTTAAACGCCGATTGCCTCACAGTTCCAGGCATTTTCTGAAATCCCCATAGAACATCAACAATCACATTCCAGGACGTCACAATGTTGCCATCTTTTAAATTATTATTTGTGCTGGAAAATTTCAAGAATTCATAGCCATTCCTTTTATCAACCAGAAGGCAAACTGCAGATACTGAATTCCAAGATTTCACGTGTTCCTGGCAAACTAGTTTCTAGTTTGTCTCTATATATACAACTCTCTTTATGTTGAGACATGACATATTCACTCTCTTTCCAGCAGCTACCAAAGTTCACTTGACATAAGATGAAATCCTCTCTCCCTCCTCCTTGTAGTTCAATTAAAATGCTCACTGCTGGTTGACTCCCCAGAAAATTAAGCTGACTTAATTAGGGCAGATGTCAAAATAATTAACAGGCCTATAGTAGATAAGTACGCTATTAAAAGCAATCCAGCTGTAATTAAATCAAAAGTGTAATCCTTATAAAAGAACCCTACATGTGTATACAAGTGGAAGCAAATGAAATAACACTCTCAAAAAGATGTCACCACATGTAAATGTGACCTTCCTATACAAGAACCGACCTCAATATTAAAGGTTCTGATTTTAAATTTAAAAAATGTAAAAACCTCTGCTATATATATTTCTTAAAGTATCAACATTCACAGGTCATGGATGTAACACAGAGAATACCTGTAACAAGAATGTTTAACACCACAGAGTTTTATTTTCACAATGTTTGTTAGGTGAAGAATGCTAATTAAGAGAGATGCTGAGTTTTAATGAAAGCTTTGAGTTTCTTCTCCCTTGAATTTGTCAATCTAAGACATGACACACAGATAAACTATAAGACTTCTTAATCATAAAACTAATTGACAAGGAAACAAGGCCGAATTAATCACAGGAAAAACACTGATTTTTATGACACCAAAACTTTGAAAGAGACCATGTGAATATCTCCCACTAAACGTTGGTAGCTGCCATCGTCCCACCAATTCTCAAGTTCCATGATATTTGAAATACACGAAACGCAGGTTTTTGTTAGGCCTGGACAATCGAACAAAATGGGATGGAAAGGCAAAGTTAGGGTGCACATGCACCACACCCCACTGTGACCTGAACAGAACTGAAAGCGGCAGTTACAATGAGGGAACAAAAGACACCTTCCTAACAGACCCACCACCCCATCCCAAAGGCAGGAAATCCTGCAAGTCAGGGCCCCAACCTGCTAAGAAACAGGGAAGGGGAAGGTGGAGTCTATGTCACCGTGGATGAAGCCCAACATAGGAGCCATCATCTAAATCGGGGCCACGTGCAGCTCATCTCCATGTCTCTGGGTCTCTGGAAAAACGCAGCTTCCCGTTATTGCTCACATGTTCAGCAAAGTACCTCCACCTACTCGAATCTTAAACATAGAAACAAGGGCCTACAAAATGGTATTTTAATTTCTGTCAGAACCAAAGCCACGTTTGTGTGAATAAGTCAGTTTCAGCAGCACTAGGCACATGAAAAGAATGGCACAATCCCCAACACCTACTAGACAATTAGCACAAAACTCGACAGAAACCGTTTCTCAGACCCAAAACCATAAGAACAGCACCCCCCAGTGGCATGAAAAAGAGCTGCTTGTGAGGAACTAGAGGCTCATCCCCAGGGGTGGTCAAAGGGATTTCTCTTCTCCTCACTGAAACCAAAGACCCAGCGAAAGAGCTTCCACCGTGCTGGGAAATCTAACATGGAATTTGAGCTTCCTCAGAGTCTAACGACTAGGCTTAGAGCAAATGTTATTTCATACTTTCTGAGTAGCTGACTCAAGGTTGCCAGATAAAATACAGAATGAATGTTCTGTGCTATATTTGAGACATACGAAGAAAGTATTCATAGTTTATCTAAAATTCAAATTTAACTGGGTGTCCTATATTTTCAGTTGCTACATCAGGCAACCTTATGCCTCCTATCATCTGAACGATCCCTATCCCAAAGTACCCACCTCTGGAGACCAGAGATTCACTTTTATAATGAAGTCTTTCAGTTCCTTCAAAGAAGCAGTAACATGTCTGCGGCAAGTAAGCCAGACAATGAATGACCTGTCCCCTGGCAATGGGCAGGGAAGACACGCTGTGCCATGGTGCAGAAGACTAGTAGGGGAAGGGAGGAGCAGAGGGTGAAATGGGGGTCCGGAGAGCCGGATCATAAAATGAGGGCATTCACGATCAGATGGGTTTTTCCAGAGGAGGACGGAAAAGAGATGGGCAATTCTGGAAGAAAAAGAGAAAGGGGAACCAACAACCCCTGCTTCTTAACAATTGTGGCCCCATCGTGGTCCCTGGTACTGGTGGGCATGAACTTGCTAAGGTCAGGCCAGAAACACTACCTGTCCAGGAAGCCACACCACCACCGACTATCCACATCCAAGCAATCTTTCTTTAGGAAGCGGTGATCTAAACAGGCTTGTGTTCCAGTTTTCTGAAACAAACCAACCTCATTTTTTTCCTAAGACGCTGGTTTCATTTTACACGACTTGCTGGTTTTTGGCTCACTCACTTGCAGAAACACAGTGCCCCCCGCAGCCTCGCACGCACCTTTGCAGTGAACCGCGATCGCCCCTTCCGTGTTCTCACAGATGTTCAGGAACCTTCGCACGATGTTGTCGCTGGGGGTGCTGCCGTCTATGAAGAAGAGGTCGTAGTGCTCGAAGCCAGCGTCTGTGAAGCGCTTCGCCTCGTAAATCTTTTTGTTCAGCCTCACGATGGCAGTCACGTTATTCTTTTTGAAATAAGGAAAGTAGGCTTCAGGGGCGTGAAGAGGGTAGCCTGTAGGAAAGAAGGAGCTGTCAGCAAAAGGCACACGTGTCCTCTTCCCCAGCCAGGGGGACACGAAAACCTTCTCGAGGAAGTTTATCCATCTCAACTGTGCTTAGGAGGAAAAGGCATTTCAGGAGAGAGCAAGAGGTGGCAGGACATTCCTGAAAGCAGCCGTCTGAAGAAGTGTAAAAGACACTGGAGGAGGGGGACCTTCTCTACCAGGAATCGCTCATGAAAGTTCAAAACCTCAGCCTCTGGAATTCAAATCCTGGAGCACTCCTCTCGAGCCAACACGGAGGCATTCTGGAAGCCCTCAAATGTGCACAGGAGGCCTGCAATGATTCTTCGTGATTTTTATTCCACTTGACAAATGCTTTTCAACTACAGTGAAAGCTTTTGGGTCAGAAGTATAGCTTTAAGGTAAAATGCAATCCCCCACAAAAGAGACTGATTACGAGACACGTGCCATGTACACGTCACAACTGCATACCATTTCTTTTAATTATCAAAACAGCCTGTTAAGAACAGTTAACCCCACTTAACGGATTAAGAAACTAAAAGAGGTTGCGTCATTTTGTGGTAGATTTTCTTTTTTGAGGAGAACGGGTGGTCAGCCTCTAACACCCCTTCTATTTTGAGTGCATTCAGCATCACGTGAGTATTCCTAGGAGCTACGGTGTCAGCTGGGTTACAGACACATGACCTAGACTTGGCCAATCAACCAAGGTGACACTGGGGGCTTTGGCCACTATAGGCCTTGTCCAGCAGCCCCAGGGGCTAAGGGGGCTAATTTCCCAGCACACTGATCATCACAGCTGTACCCATTCTGGGTTTACGGGCTCCCGGCATTTCAGACAATACGATCTCACTGAGAGCTCATCCATGATGGTGGGCTCCAGGCGTGGGGAGCAGCTGTTTCTGCACTATGCCCTCGGCCATATTTCCTGTGGCCTCGAACCCTGTGTATGCTGGTCATTTCCTATTTTCTCTCAGCAGCAAGACCATTCTCCTATGCCCTGCTCAGTGATACTAGGGTTGGGGTCTGCATATTACATTTCCCAGACTGCCTTTCCAGCTGGCTTCCTGTCAGTTCTAAAAATGGGAGGCACTGAAGGGCGACTGGAGGCCAGAGGAGGGAGAAGGCACTTCTGTCTGGGGGCCAGCATGAGCTTCAGCAGCAGAAGAGGGGAGCAGCCGGAGCTCCCAGCTTAGCCTGGCACTCTCAGCACCAGCCTGCAGCCCAGGCTCGCAGTCTCCACTCCTCAGCCCCCAAGTGCAAACACCAGCTGTGTGGCATGCCCTTCAGAGCTCCTAGGTTCTGGGAACCCCACTTTTTCCCTTCTGGCCCCCCAGCCTTAAAGGCAGTAGCTGTTTCCTCCATAATATTCTAGTTCTTTTACTTTTTAGGTCTCTCTTTAACAAATCCCTTGTGTTACATTCCCTCTGTTTGAAATAGCGTGGTTTCCATTTCTGCCTGGACCCTGCCGATGCCTTATCTCCCCTGGATCCTGTTCATTTTCTAAGCCTCATTCTCCAGCCTTCCTCTGCAGGCTGTGAGCTACCCAACATAATTCCAATAGATGCCTTCTTCTTTTTGGTTTAATTTACCAGAATTGGTTCTGCTGCCTGCAACCAAAAGCCCTACCTGGTACACTTGGCCAGGGTTACACAAAGGATGGAGGCAGCAGGGGAAGGCAGGCCTAACCAATCTGCAGCCCAGATGCATGGTGTTCACAGACCATGCTGCTTTTGAGCAAACAGGTAATACAGAGCTTATTTACAATCCTCTGTGTAGAAACACTGACTTATACACACACGTTTAGAGAAAACAGATGTTTTTCACCTTGGAAAAATTAAATCTGTTTCCTCAGTTCGTTGATGTGCTCAAAGTATTTCCCAGCCTAAAGGGAAAAAGAACTGCAGTTGGCATAAGGAAACAAGAGCTTTCCTACCATGTAGAGAAAGGGAAGGAGAGCGCTCAGGAACATATGGGAAGCCTTCCCTTCATGTGTCAGGCTGACAAGCGCTTCTGCTCCTGGGTTCCTAGCATTCCTGGCACCTCCACGATGGACCTGTCAGCCAGTGGGCTAATGCTTGGTTTGGTGTCTATCCCTTCCCCTCCTCCACCGAGCATTTAAGAAATTCTCTATTCACATATGGATTTCCATCAGGAGTAAATGGCATTATAGATAACACACCTAAACCGACTATTAAGAGCAACTCTGTACGTTTTTTGAGAGAAGAATGCTGGACAGTTACCAAACATGGCAATAGGACATTGAAATAACTACAATCATGATAACAATTGCACCTCACATTTATTGAGGGCTTACTATAAAGTCAGGAACTAAACTGAGTGCTTCGTGTGTATCAACTGATTACACCTTGCAATTACTCCATGACTGATGGCTGGAAAGTGAACTGGCCCTTGCACACACAGCTGGCAAGAGACGGGGCAGCATCAGAACCCTGGTGGCCGGATTCCAGGGCCTGTACTGGGGCTGATTTCGGGTAAGATCCAACTTGATTCTATTTGTTGGGTTTCCAAATAAGGGAAAATTATATGACATTAGGTGCTGCACTTTCTAGAGCTGGTGAGCAGGTTTCTTAAAAATCTTCCAAATTGTTTCAAATGAGTTATAACCAACAAACGTAACAATATTCTTTGACCTCTGAACAACTGTCTGTGGGTGTTATCAGTGCATTCGGATGCTTTTGATGGGCGACTGGTTTCAGCAATGTGCAAGGCGGAGCACTCATCGACCCTTACTCCATCTGGCCGCTAGAGGGTGCCCTAGCATCAGTAAAGCACAGGCAGAACCCTGGCGCCGAGCAAACGCAGAAATGGAATTTCAGAACTAAGAGAGATTTTAAAATTCATCTCTTCCCAGCTCCTCATTTAAAGTTAGGAAACTGAAGGGTAGCAGGGTCAAATGAATAGTCCACCAAGTCATTATTAAAAGTAAAAACTGCAAAATAGGCAGGCAAATGTAGAAGACAATAAAATATATTTACTAGGCTCATTAACGATAAAAATGTAATCAGAATATCTCCTACCTAATAAGCACCTATTATGTGCCCGACACTGTGCAAGGCCCTTCATCTAATATCTCCGATCCTCACTAGGTGCCTGCAATGTTTATCCTATCTCCCTCGTTTGATATAGAAGGAAACTGATGCTCAGAGAAGTTGAGAGCTCACACGGCCAGTAAGTGGCAGAGCCAGGCTTCAACCGGCCAGGTTCTTCACACCTCACTTCTCTCACCAGATGAGCAGGCTGACGCTTCAGATTGCTGGGATTCCCTGGCTCAAGCTGTCTTTCTCTGTGCTTTTTTCTTAATTTTTATTTTTATTTATTTTTATTTTTTTTCTAAGATTGGCACCTGAGCTAACAACTGTTGCCAATCTTCTTTTTTCTTCTTCTTCCCCCAAAGCCACCAGTACATAGTTGTATATTCTAGTTGTGGGTCCTTCTAGTTGTGGCATGTGGGACGCCGCCTCAGCATGGCCTGATGAGGGGTGCCATGTCCACGCCCAGGATACAAACCAGCAAAACCCTGGGCCGCCATAGCGAAGCATGCGAACTTAGCCACTCGGCAAGCCTCTTTCTTTTTTTTGTTAAACAGAGATGAGAAGGACATTGCCACCTGAGAGTTTTGGGGGTTTTTTTGGAAATTTTGAAATCTAAAATATGTTCCATTCTACTGCTATATTATTATCAATTCAAACTTGTTTAATCAAAAGAAAGTAGGGGTCTTCTCTTCCCCACTGTTAAAACAATGTGAGCCAGGGTGGCTGAAAGAAACTCCTAGCTGCTTTGTTGACACAAACACACACTTAAGACTCTTATAATGCATTCTGCCCCGACATCAAGATTTTAGCCCCTCTTTTTGCTACATCCTAGCAACAGCTATTTGAGTGTTAATTCCTTGAAAATCTACCTTTTCTACTAACCCCCAAAATGACTTTCAGCCTCCTCAGGAAACACAGGCTTTCCCAATTCAAAAAAAATAGAGAGAGGCCAGCCTTGTGGCCTGGTGGTTAAAGTTCCACATGCTCTGCTTTGGTGGCCCAGGTTCGGATCCCAGGCGTGGACCTACACCACTTGTCAGCCATGCTGTGGCAGCATCCCACATACAAAATAGAGGAAGACTGGCAGCGGATGTTAGCTCAGGGCAAATCCTCCTCAGTAAATAAATAAATATGTGTACCTACACATATATATGCCAAGATTTCACTGTAATTGGATCAAGTTTACTAATTCCATCACAAAATTATTATTATTACCATTTTTTGGGGTGAGGAAGATTGGCTCTGAGCCAATATTTGTTGCCAATATTCCTCTTTTTTTTTCCTCCCCAAAGCCCCAGTACACAGTTGTATATCCCAGTCATAGGTCATTCTAGTTCTTCTATGTGGGATGCCGTCACAGCATGGCTTGATGAGCGGTGTGTAGGTCCACGCCCAGGATCCGAACTGGTGAACCCCAGGCTGCTGAAGCGGAGCGTGTGAACTTAACAACTATACCACCAGGCTGGCCCCACAAAATTATTTTTTAAGTTCAAAAAAGATTTACAAAGTTAAAGCCCTTTACAGAAAAATATGATGAACCTTCTAGTGAATATCAGATCTTAAAATGGTGATTCCAGTAAAACATCACTATTTCACTAATGACAGCCTTAAATGAAATTGTTCTAGACATCATAAAAACAGATAAATATTAGGTAAGCAGCACTGTCAGGGTGCTTAACTTAATAGCAGTTATTTCTAGATTATATAATTACAGGTGACTTTTTATCTACATTGCTTGAATTTTCTTCTTGAACATGTACTTCCCCTAACATGTAATAAAATAAAAAAGAACACAGAATTTGGAATCAGAGACCTGTGTTTGAATCCACACGCTGCCACATTCCGGCTGTGTGAACCTGGGCACGTAAACCAACTCCTCTAACCCTCCATCTCGCTGTCACCTACCCCAGAGGGCAGTTCTGATCAGTGAATAGATGATGTGTGTCTATTTAGCACCATTCCTGGCATATAAGCAAATGGCAGCTCTAATTATTTCTCTATATTGCATTATGGGACCAAAAAGAATTTTTTAAGATTTTTGACAATTAAGAACTATCACACAAAATATTCATATCCTTTTATCTAGTGATTCTACTTCCAAGAATTTAGAGAAGAAACTGGAGCTGCAAAAAGGATGTATAAACATGTAGGCCAACAACAACAGTTTTTATAAAATGAAAACCTGTAAACAACTTAGATCTCATTCAAAAAATTAATTAATTAATTGGGAAAATTATGGCACAGTCATTGAATAGTATACAATGTGCCATGGAAATTTATAATGTAGCTCTACACTTACTGCCACGGAAAGAAGTCTGTGATATGTTAAGTCAAAAAAGCTGCTATAAGCTAATAATTATGTAATGATCCCATGCTTATAAAAATTTTTTTTATAAATGTGTGTGTATTCATTGAGAGAGAAAAAAAATATGTGCAAATAAAAAATACAGAGAAGCAGATGGGAGAAAATTAAAATCCCCAATAATCCCATCACCAAATATAAACCCAGAAAACTTGGGTAGAATTATAGGTCATTTTTATGCTCTTTCAATAGTTTGTCTGCATTTTCTTTTCTTAAAAAAATCATGTATTACCTCTATAAAAATATTTTAAATGATTTTTTAATTATGTCTCTCATCTCCTCTTCCAGAAAATTTCATAAAACACATGACTCCCAAATGGCAAAAATCTTTCAGTGTTGCCAGATGAACACCCAACAACAAAGGCACTACTACAACCATACACCTACTAAGATTTTCTGAGTCAGATCATTTTGCACAGAAGGCCAAAGCTGGATTTAATCAATCCTGTCTTCAAAGACCAACTGTCAGAAGGCAGCTTCCTGAGGCACTCAACGTGTTGTTCCCAACAACCCAACATGACAGAGGTTAATTATCAATGTCTGGAGCAAAAGAGATTCATCAGCAAATTTGTGAATGAGAAGATCTAATTCTGGCTTCAGTCTAGAGGCTTTCTATTTGTCAGCTTAACTCTCTAGACCTGGATTGCCCATCCACAGAGGAAACCATGACTCCAGCAGAGTTCCCTGGTCCATACGTAATAGTTGGGGAAATGATAAGCACATCTGCGGAAACTCAAACAAATTATCAAATCTAAATGCATGAGTAACAATATACAATGAAACTAGACTTTAGAATAAATACTTATGATGATGATGATGATGAAAGAAGAATAAATCTAGACTAGGGGTTTCAAATTACGTTCCCTCAGGGTACTAGTGTTTCAGCTCTGCAAGCAGATAAGAACAAAAAAAGAAGCTATATGTTCATGGGTAATAGTTTTCAATTTTAAGAACTTCTCTCATAAATTATTCTTAAACCCTTGGTACCTATCATTACTCATCTTCTAGGGAGTGTTACCAAATGGAAAAAAATAATAAAGTAGAAAATAAATACGAATGGGAGAACTCATATAGCTGATCACGTTTCATTCAAGAGAATTATTTTTTGTTTTGCTTTTATTTATTTTTCCTGATTATGTATGCCCATGGCTATCCATATACTGCAAATACATAATTTAATCACTGTCAGCTAGAAAACTGTTCCAAGTTGTCATGATGGAACTCAGTATCAGTGCAGTGGCAATGTTTAGGAAGCTTGGGCAAATTCCCTCTTCATAACCCTCAGTAAAAGGGAAAGAATAGTACCTACACCTCACAGAGTCATGTATGCATTAAATGAGATAACGCTGTGATTAGCTAGTAACTAGCACCTGGTTACTACTCAATAAAAGACAGCTATTGTCATCATTATCGTCATTATGCAACATGGTGTTCCCCAAAGACCTTGATGTGTAGCACTCTACCACCAAACACATGTGAGAACCAATGATAGGATTCAGCAATCTGCTTATTGATGGACCAGTTTCTTTCTCAGATTTTTCTTTGATAATTGGGTCAAGTAAAGTGAGCATCCTATTTAGGGCAACCTAAAAATTTGCTAGTTTTAAAAGTGATTATAGCTCTACCTACTAAACTAAAATATTTAACACACTCATTACTACTGTTCAATTTTTTAAATTAGGAATAAATATTCTTTGGCAAATATTACCAAAAGAAAGGATTATCTGAGGAAATAAAGAAATTAAAGAAAATGAACTGAAATAAATTTTTGGATGGTAAAATAAAGAAAAACCTACCATTTTCAATTTTGCTTTTTGGATGTGGTCCACTAAATGCTAAAAATTTTCCTGGAACAATCCAGTTGAAGTCACCATTTTCAACTCGCTGGAAGAATTTTGTGAGAAAAGAAAAGAAAAATATTTTATAATTCTTATACAATTTACAAAACCCTTACAAATAAAACTGCTTTTTACTCTATTCGTATTAGACTAACTGGACATACATGAAGGCAAAGTAATTTAGCTTAAAATAAAAATACGCATCTGATTCTCAAAATAATATTTATGAATTCAATCTGCTTCAGAAAAATTTTTATCTAGGCTATATGAAAAGTTTAGAAAACTTTATTTAAAGTGGAGGGACTTAGCTTAAAATAATTTTGTCTCTTGGCTACTCTGCAATGAAATGAAATGAAAATAAACATTGCTTTTTGTCCCAGCAAAAAATAAAAGGGAAATAAGAGAAAATGGAAAACATAAGCACTTTCCACGAACATGGTAAACGTACTTTAAACAAAGAAAAAAATCTATAAATATCAGGGTCGTGATGAACACACTTCCAGGTGTTTCTGTGTTTTTATAGATTGATATCTGTTGTCAATGCTGATTTTTAGACTGGGAAATGGAAGGAGGCAGGAGTGAGGGACAGAGGCTCAGCAAACCCTCCAGGTAGACCACAAACCAGAGACAGCCACGTTCTACCACAGGGGCTGCAAACCCAAAGAGTGACAAGATCAGGCAGAGACATAAATAAGGGCAGGTACTCTTCAGCTCCGGCCAGTCAGTCACCTTGCAAGAAAGCAGACTGATTGTGGCCGATCTTTCAATTGGATTTTCATGTGAAATCTCTCTATATGTGAAATGTTGACTGTTTTTAAATTAAGTTTTTAAATACCATGAAATCAAATAAAACACACCTGCAGGCTGACGGATTACCAATTGTCGGCCTCGTCTACACACTCTAAGGAATCCTCAGAAAGGCTTGAAGACCAGGGAAGGGGCTGAGCATCCTCCCACTGCTCCATCACCTCCTCCATCTCCTTCCCTTCCCCAAGTCTCCGTGAACCCATGGAACACTGGGGCAGGGCTGAGGGTACCTGAGATCTTGCAGGTAATTGGGAGACATTTGTACAATGCATCACAAAATATATGTTTCACCTCTTCATGTAAGCCATCTTTAGCCCACCCCCATCCCCACCACAAGGCACAGCTCAAGTCTCCAAGTGCCCCCTCAGGGCTCTCATAGCTCTGCATGGATAGTTCCCAGGCAGGGAAGGAAGGCAGTTCTCTTTCCTGGGCTAAGGCTGTGCACACAAAAGGCTCTCTCTTCTGCTACGTGGCACAGACCTCAATGGTAGCAATCTGAGTCAAATACAGAGTCCGCGCTCTGGTGTGAGAGCTCAGCAAGTACTCGTTAAATAAACTGGAGTAATGTCATAAAGGAAAACTGGAGCCTCCACTTTAATTACTTATACTACACATTATCAGGTCCACGATAATCAAAACTTAGCTGTACAATTTTCATGTTTAAAATGCAGATGTTTCTTACCAGTTATAAAAGGTTATAAATGAAACTTTATATGACACCCTATAAATGTCTGAATTGCATTAATCTAATTGTAATAAACATGATATCTCCACAATGCCCTAAATAAAATCTTAGAGATACTATGAGTGTTATGAGCACACACGCCAAATTAAATCTCAAGCATAATTATTTATAACAATATGAATATAGAATCTAAACTCTTTATGATAATTAAACATTTTCTTGGTTAAATAAAGCAGTCTCAAATTAACAGTCCAAAATCCCTCTTAAGTAATTATTAAGCTTAAAACATTATTTAAAATTCAAATATAAAAGCATGCTCTAACCATCAAAAGGCTAAAACCAATTCTTTGTGAACAGTCGAAGAAAACAGGTTTCTACGTTCACTATTTCTGTATCTTTGACCACTAAGGAGGCCTAAACAAATAAATTGTCTTATGCCTGTTTATTCGGATGATAGACATGCATTGGGTTAAACAGTAACCTTTCATCATCAATGACATGGAGACAGGCAGTGGACTCTCTAGGACACATTCACTCACAGACAAAAAGAATGTTTGCAAATCTGCCCACCCAAAAAGATAAACATTAGATATTATTCATCCATATTCAGTAGCTTAGATAAGGTTGATGGAGTAAACAAAAAGATTTAGGACTTTGATTCAAATCCAAAAAGAAGTTAGTAAAGTCATAGCTTTTAACCGACTAATATAAGCTTACTTTGGTAAGCTTCCAAAATTAATATCTGTGCCTTCTTTCATAGTGTTTTATAAGAATGTCAATATTTATCAATAATAGAATATTTAAGATGAAAAATTTGTTTTTCTAATTAAATGCACACACACACACACACAGTTCAAAGAATCTAGATCAGACGGGAACTTGAGGTACTTTCCCAAGCCTACCACATTTTATAAACAAACATCTAAGCAAGGATAAGATAAGAAGGTATTTCACCTCTTCCAATCTAAAGCCTACTACCTACCACGTACTATGTAGACAAACTTAGGATGTTCCTCACTCTATGAAAACCCCAAAATAAAAATCTGAATTCCTGAAACTGACACATTTAGGTGTTACTATTCACTTTACCAGGATTCTTCAGTCTACAAAAGATTTACCAGATTTCTTTGGAATAGCTAACTGTCCTGGTGCATTTAAAATATAATTGAAAAAAAAAATCACAGTTGCTTACAAAGTAATTAACAGTTTTAAAATAAAATATAATTGACTTGAAAACATAAATTTTTATAACTTCTAAGAAATACATCTGTGCCAGTAAGGCATACCTCTGTTGTAATGGTTACAAACATATTTTTCAGACCAAACACTGAAAAACGTTTGGCCTTATTACCATTGTAATAAACAGACAGTAAGATAGAAAAGATAGACCTTGAAGTTGACAGTTACAGGATTATTCCCTTTATCAACATATGTTTTCTAAGATAACATGGCTAAACAGGTTTCAAGCACAATTCAATACTCATTGAACCATGTGCTGAGCCTTTATTATACATCGAGGATTATAACTTGGTGTCATACAAAAAAAATTAAAAAGCCTTCCCTCTGTGCTCTAAAGGAGTCTGAAAGCAAGTGGGAGTGACAAACAACTGTAATAATAATAGCAGCAAATCACTGACTCTGTGCTACGAACTACTCTATTACATGCAACTCATTTAATCCCTACAGGAACCCTATGAATGCAGGTGCTATTATCATCTCCATTTTACCCATTGCTATGGTCTGAATGTTTGTGTTCCCCAAAATTCATATGTTGAAACCTAATCCCCAATGTGATGGTATTTGGAGGTGGGGCCTTCAGGAGGTGATTAGGTCATGAGGATAGAGCCCTCACGAATGGGATTAGTGTCCTTGTAAGAGAGACCCCAGAGAGTTCCCTTGCTCCTTTCACCACGTGAAGACACAAGGAGAATATGGCCATCTATGAACCAGGAAAATGGCCATCACCAGACACCAAATCTGCTGGCAACTTGATCTTGATCAAGCCTCCAGAACTGTGAGAAATAACTGTTTGTTGTTTAAGCACACAGTCTATGGTATTTTTGTCATAGCTGCCCAAACTAAGACACCCATTAAAGGAAAAGTTGCATTCAGCCTTGATAAGTGCTATAACAGAAGTATACAAGAGGTTTAATGGTGGCACGAAGACTATTGTAAAAATCAAAAAGACAGAACTACAAAGTTCTTTTTGATTCATTAGGAAAGTGCCTTGTTTATGTTTTCCTAACTTCTAAAACAATAAAATAGAGTTGACAGAATAATTGTATTACATAAATGCAAACATGCTGTAGTGATTGGCACTTTATGAGCTTAAAGCAAAGTAAATATTTGAGTTATTTGGTTTAAATTGTTACCATGCCACATGGCTTAAATAATAATCCAACTCTAGATTATTAATTTAGATTTGCTTTTGAGAGAGACAGTGTGGCGGAGGGAAAGAGGAGTGACCCATGTGGATGATCGCTTCACCTCCACTAGCAACAGTGGGGGTGGGGAGATGCTGGTGGGAAAAAACATCCAGGGTACTGCTCCAACAGCCCAGACCAGGGAATGCATCTGCCAGTTGCAGAGTGCCATTCCAGTGCTCAAGACATGAAGATCTGAGGCTATCAGGACTAGGTGGTTACTGAAACTTGGAAACAGGTGCTCTCACTCACAGAGAGCGTGCATAACGAGAAATCATAAGGCCCTGGAGAGCAGCAGCATTTCAGGTGGGAAAAGGAAGAGAAAGGACTTATAAGGGGACTGAGAAAGATGACCAGAGATGGAAGGAGGAGAAATGCAGGAGACAGAACCTTAGAAGTTAGGGGAGGAAAGTGACTTTTCAGAATTAGAGAATGGCCACTGAGTCAATCCAGTAGGAACAAGACCACACACAACTATTTGCTGGTGCGAACTCTTGTGTTAGCAGGACCAATTTCAGTAGAGTCACAAAGGTAGAGGCCAGGCCATCATCAGATGACTGGCTGAGTAAAAACAGACTCAAGACTGCTCTCTTAAGACATTTGGAGGTAAAAAAAAAAGGAACAGAGACCAAACAATAATTAAAGAGGAAGAAAAGACCATGAGAAATTTCTCAGGATAAGGTAGACCTCAAAACATTTTATAGATTTAACCAACATGATCTTTGAACCACACCCGCATTAGCTGATGTGGAAGCACTGGGTCCCTCCACTCTAGCAGCTGCAGTGTCTGGGAAGCAACTTTGCTTCCTTAAACTGGTGACCTTTGAGTGGTGCAATCAACACCACGGGATGGCTCCAGGGAAATGCTTCTAATAGTTCTTTGAGTAGTCAAATCACCTTGGCAGACACACCTCCATAGTTCCTCCAGGTGGTGAGGACATACCCATATACCTCCATTCTGGAACTCGCCTGACCCCAGTCCTATGGCAGGAATTCACAATTACAGTGGCAGAAATTCACATTTTTCCAGTTCTATAATCCATGAACAAGCAAAGACAGCAGATCAAGCAATGTCCAGATTACATTTTAGTTTCCTGTACAAATTCTAATCCAAAGCAAAGCCTCGAAACA